GACAACAGCCTCCAGGCCCATTTTGGAAGCCTCCTCACAAACACGCACAGCACAAACCACAGGAGGCTGCTGGGTTCATCCTGGCAGCATTTACAGCGCAGCCACCACAAGCCAAAGGGAAAGCAGTTCTGCTGCCGACGCGCAGGAAGGGGCCAGAGGTGTTTTAGGCAGCTTTCGAGTTCTCATCTTGTGTGCACCACTTGATGCTTAAGGTCTGACTAGCACTGGAGCTCTCCTTCCCCTCCAAATGGGCTCTGGTTTTCGTAGGGAAAGCAAGAAGGCTCCAGCTACCATGAGCTCACGCCAAGTCTCCAAACAAATCTGTTTGAGGTGCCTGGTCCAAGATGGGGCGGGAGAGAGGGGGAAAGGGGGAAAAATCAGGATAAGAAAATGTTTCTTGTAGGAATATTGTGATTATTCAGTTTATGAACTCGCTCATCTCCCATTTGTCTGCAGGGAACAACATGCAAGGCAAGAAGCAATTGAAGCTCGTGCATGACCTCAAACACCAGCAGTGAGCGCCCATTCCTCAGCCCCAGTGTCAGAGCCAAGAAGCAAGGGGATGGAGGACACCGTCTCCATCCACTCAGGGCAAGCAGGGATTAAACCCATTCCCAGGGGAGTATCCATCAAGTGGGCTGGCACGGCTCTGGCTATGAATGACATTGATCAGGGTGTTTACAAAACAGCCTCTACAAAATATCTCGGCTTCCTTATTGGTGAGTCAAGTGGAAGAGCACAAGGGGCACGTGGGAATGTGGCCACTACAACAGCATTTAATTCATTCTGCTGATGCTTTTGTGCATGCAGAGCCTCCCATGCACAGCAGCACAATGCATGGGGCTCGCAGGCCCGATTCCTGCCATGGTGGTGGTGAACAGCTTGATATGTGGCTGTAGGCAAGAAATCCAACCTCCAGGTCTCCACTTCAGTTGTCCCCAGGAGAGGCATGGCCATAGCTCACTGCCTGCGCCTTCCCATCACGTCAGCACCAGAAACATGGGGGTTGATTCTCAATGCCTGTTAAAGGCATAGGGAGGGGATGGGGCAGCATCCTGCAGCTCCAGGGCTGTTGCAGCCTCTTATCTCAAGTGTTACCAATGCCAAGCTCTGCTTCTGCTCTGAGCCCCGTCTCAAGCCACTGTTTAAAGGAAGAGTGGAGAGGAACTCCAGCTAGGCTTTCTGTGGATGTTGTCTATATGGATAGAGGTGTTTGCAGAAGCCTTCTGGGTAATGGGAATGATTAAGACATTACAGTGGTCTTTCCTGGGACAACTCAGAAATAAGTGCCTGAACTAATGGGAGTTCGGGGGGGACCTGTTAGTCATTTTTACAACCATCTCTGCTGCTGGTGTGCAGCGTCTTTGCTGCTCTTCCTACCAGAGCCACAGGGGAAAACTCTGTGTTAGTGCGGATGTTAAGATGCCACTGGAGGGGAATGGGGGTGTGAGAGGAAGGCTCTGGGCAGCTAACGCATTTATTCAGGATGAATAAGCCCCTTGTGGTAAGCAGGGCTGCCTAATCTCCCTCTCCCATAGTGTAACTGCTCCGATGGTATCAGATCTTTGCTATAACTGGCAATTTTTCCTACCAATTACCCGCCGGTTCCAGTCCATCTCCCTCTGAAATAACAGGCAGGTCATTAATGTCAAATTCCAATAGGATGATAAGGGAATTTACTGCTGAGATGATCACCAAAGCCAGGGTGATGAATGGGCTCAGAAGGATTTTACGGTATTATTTCCCAGCGTTCACCAGGCAGTTATCTCCTTCCCTCGGCACTTTGTGTCTGTAGCTCAGAGCTGTCTCCTCTATGGCTCCTCAGCTTGCTTTTAGGGTTTCATTCTGTATGAGGATGCACATGTTCCTTCAGGCTCTATTTTTGTTACAGATGCTCTTGTCCAGGAAACAAGGCAATGACAATGAGATCCATCATGGGGATGCTTTTGACTGGGTTTGTTGTACTTGGCACCCTGTCAGCACCCGGGTCTATGATGAAAAAGGAGCACGTTTAAGGTACTTTAATCACTGCCGAAGTGCCGTGTAGTGTGTTAAAATGAGCTGCTTTGCTTTTGAAGCTGCAGAGGAGATACAGTTTACAGATCAGCTCCCCAGTGCTGCTCAGCTCCAAGATTTAGGTTGTTTGACTTCCTTTCCTAGAAATGAGCTTTATAGCTTTATCTGAAGCTGTTTAATAGCAGAGATGGATCAAAGCGAAAGACTCCCAGCTGCAGCCCAATAAATTTGGGGCCCAGGCTGGTGGTAAAGCAGGTTGTCATCTAAAGGGCTGGTCTAGTCCATGGTACAGTTCAGGCTTCAGTGATCCCAGCCATCGGGAGATGCACAGCCTCTTTCCTTCCCCAGGCCCAATTCAGACCAGTGGCCAGCAGCAGGAAGCAAAGCAGAGCCAGGGGAACCCCTGTTTTGCCATTTCTGGTGAGGAGGAAAGAGAATCTGCTCTCTTCAAGCAGCCCTAGGAAGCCTGACACCCGACCAGCAGACCCCAGCAGATCTTCGCGCACTGTTTTCCTCTTCAAGCCAGATTCCTCAGTGTCCTTTTCTCATCAGATATCCTCTGTTGGATCACTCTGCCCTGGCAGCGTGATGTAGAAAGCAGTTGCTACCATCTGATAGAGCCCCAGCACAGACAGACGCTGACAGTGGGGAAGAGAAATAGGGCTGAGGGTGCAGGTTTATGGTTTGTTTTTGCAAGAAACATGATCTAGGGAAGATCTGGAGCTGTACCCTGATGGTGTCCTAACAAGGAAGGGCAGGGGACGCTTCCCAGGGCTTGTAACCAGCTGGAGGATTTAACCCGGGCTGTTTTTCTCATTCCCAGAGATGCAATCAGGGCTAACACGTCCCTTTGTTGTTATAACCGGTGTGGGTTTTTCTTCTGGGGCAGAAACGGATCATTTCCCAATGGGAAGTGCTGCCCCTTTCCCCAGCTCTGGCTCTGGTCAAGCCCGGTGCTGTTCCTGCTGTGCTCTGCACCCCAGCACAGCCAGGCCTTGCAGCTCTGCCAGAGCACGAGATGGGGTTAGAGAATCGCTCCCCCTTTGTGTTGGCAGGGATCAGGAATTAGATGTGGTTCTTATTTTTAGCTGTATTTTTGCTGCTTTTTGCTGTTGCCTCTGCAGGGAGCAGGTAGGAGATGGGGAGGGCCACGGGCAATGAACAGCTCCCAGAGGTGCCTAAACCAAAGCCATCCAGAAAAAAAAGCCCATCTGGAAGAAAAGCCTTCATTTCTCTGAGTAAATCCCTCCTGTCCCAAAGAGTAAAGCAACTTGTCTGTGAGGAAGGGACTGCACCACTGCAAGTCCCTCTGTGTGTCACGAGGAGCAAATGTAAAGCAATGAAACAGCACCTCAGCATCATCCCCATCAGAATCCCACCCTGGGACTGCTGAGGGAGCCACCACCATGATCCAGCGGTTTCTACCTCGGGTTTGGGTGGGTCAATTCATCTCCTTGTGCTCATGTTTTTCCTGTATAAAGCAGAGATCTCAACCTCCTGTGGTTCTGCTCTGTATAAAGGCAGCAGGAGGAGTACTGCTCTGCCAGGTCCCACTGGCCTTTGTTGGAACAAGAGATACTGATGCTTAGAGATCATTAGTCTGATCCAGGTGGGCCTCTTCTATGATATCTTGCAGGGAGTGAAGTCCAAGGTGTTTAGAAGCAAGAGCCCTCACTGAAGTCAGAGAAAGACACAGTTTATGCTATATTTAAAACTGACCAGAGGGCAAGCGTTTGATCTGTGTTCAGCCTTTCCCCATTTTCTTCTGCAGATAGTCACATTTGGGGATCTGCAGTCTGGATCTAATACATAGCACAGTATTAATAGATGTTGGAAAAGGCTGCTACAAGCTATTACTGAGGCAAAGTAAAAGAAATCAGATGTTTATATCCAATTATGCTGTTGTGCAGATCAGGGGCCAGGAGGGAGCAGAGGCAGTAAAAAGGAAAAGTGTCTTTTTGTGAAGGGGGATGGCGTCGAGATGGATGGATAAGGAGAGGGACGCACCAGGGGCGCGGGTTTCCCTGGCATCCCTCTTGCAGGGCAGAGCAGGGGGGAAGCAAGCCCCAGATCTGCTGAGACCCCCCCTCAGTGGAGGCCAAAGGGGGTTCCCTGCCCGTGGTGCCTCCACTGTGACCCTGGTGTTGGTGCATCCTCTCTGCCCAGACTTTGCTCTGAAGCACACACACGTACATCAGCATCGTGCCTTCTTGTGCTCCCTCCCGCAGGGGTTTCCCAGGCATCAGTGGTGCTGAGCCAGCCTGTACCAGTGGTGCTGGCCCCTGCCCTGGCACCCAAGCCCCAGAGGGAGCTGCTTGTGCCCCTGGGGACCACAGGACTGGCACGTATCACCCAGCCAGTGACAGGGGAACTCCCCATGATCTCAACCAGAGCTAGCTCCTCACTACAGGCCTGGGCTGTAAAACCCCCTCCAGCATCCCCAGGCAAGGTCCCAGCCTGTCCATGCGGCCCGTGGGAGGATGAAGGCAGAAAGAGGGAGAGGGGGGAGAGATAAACAATTTCCTACACAGTTGTGGCTCAAGCCCATCTTACAAGAAACACATGGTCCCTGACACAACATTTAGCTCCAGTGTAACATGGTCCATTTGGAGGCTGGTGGCTGTGTGGAGAGCTGTAGTAAAACATTCTTTGCTGGTAACACACACAGAGAGAAAAAAACACCCTTAGTAATAGTAACTGTGGTTAACTCCATAAAGGCTGGAGGATGCGGTGGCAGCGAGCTGCTTCTGGAGCAGGATGTTTGCCCAGCATCCCTGGCAAACCCCAGCTCCACTGGCTTGAGATGCTTGGCCTGGCTGGTGCTGCCCCCCTGGCTTTGCCCCATTAGAACAGAGAAGAGGAGCCAGGGTCTCTGGGGCTGGATTTTTCCCTTCAGTGAGCAGTTCCCTGCTCAGAAAACGTTCTCGGGGAGGATCCTGATGTGGGGCCAAAGAAAAAGCCTTTTTTTTTCTCCTTTTTCTCTCTTTTATTCAACTTTCCTGCTCATTAGCTCAGGAACTTACAGTTGGAGTTGTCACCGGGCTCCTCCTGCCAACATACTGCAGGGCTCCGTGGAGTTACATCATTTGGCCTCGGAGGAGCAGCTAAGTGGAAACACATTTGGGTTCGCTCACGCTGCTCCAGCTCCTCACTCACTCCCTGTGTCCATGGGCACAGAGCACGGGGTCAGGCGGAGCCAGGGCCCTGCACCAGGGCATGACCCCCCCCCCCCGACCTCTTATCCCATGGGCACCGAACCCCCCAAGCCACCCAGAATCCATCTGCAGCGTATCCAGAGCATCCCTGTGCTGGTGGGAGCGCAGGGGGCCGGGTGCTGAGCTCATCCTGGCTGAGCCACAGCTTTAATCCCTGCTGCCTCTTGCTTCTTCCCTCGAATTTCTCCTGGACCCACGTCCTTCCCCCTCCCAGCTCGCCTGGAGCCAACGTGACCCCATGGTCAGCGCTCCCTGCCCTTCCTGCTCCTTCACTCTGCTCTGGAGCACAGCAGCTGCTCTGCCCAGACAACACTGATCTTTAGTTCTGCCATTTCTCCAGGAATTGCTCCTTCCCAGCTAGCACCAGTGAGGAAATGGCTGTATCTGGTGGGCTCCATCACGCCGGTCCTCATTATCAAGGGCAGGAGGAGGAAAGAAAGGGGCTAGATGGTCATAAAGGTCTGGTTTTGTTTTTCAACATCTGACACTGAAGTGTTCTGTAAAATACCTGAAGGAAAGGGAAGTTCAGAGGGACCCTTGCATCTCTCACACCAGGAAAGGTCAAAGAGAGGGCTTTCATTTACAACTGGTACTGCCTGTTGATGATGCCCCAGGATGGAGCAAGCCACTGTGTGCAAGGGGCAATTCCTCCCATCCTCAGCGTGCAGCTCTTTCCATCCCTGTCCTGGCATCACCTGCCCAACACTGCCTGAGAAACAGGGAGAGGTGGAAAAGGTGATCCCAGCCCGTGTGAACACCACAGGACAGCTGAGACCAATCCCCCCAATCGCACACTTGCTCCTTTACATCGGGTCATCAAAAGCCAAATTAAACAGTCTGTTAATGCCTGTTCATGTAAAAGATAAATCGGGGTTTAGCAAAGCACTGCAGCCACCTCCAGCTCCAACCCAGCCCTCACATAACCAAGGGCAAATCGGATCCTGCAGAAGAGAATTCATTACTGATGCAGCCTGAAGTCTTTCTGACCATGACACTTGTGTGCAGTGCTAGTATTGCCTACACCAGCTTCACTTGCTCCTCTATCGGTCTATACGTTACAAGGGTGGCTGTAGCCCGGCCATGCCTGCAGTAACTCCACCTTGCGTGTTGCTGGCACTTCTCTACTCAAAGCCTAGAGGAAGGGGATGATGAAGCAAAACCGAGCATCCCCGGTGACAGGAGTTTTAATGAGTGGGTTTTTAATGAGCTGCAGGAAGATGCCTGTGCCCCAGCCCTGTGGCTGGTACTCTGGTTGAGCTGATCTGAAGCTTCCCCATCAGTCTGTGTCAGCGTGAGCCCCGTGGCTCATATCCTGGGTGCCACCAGGAGCTGCCCATGAATAAATCCTGATTTATAACCCTAAAGCCCAGAAGTTGTCCTGTTGGGGGCCAGCCCAGCCTTATTCCACCACCCAGGTCACGAGCTTGCTGGAGGAAGCTCTCTGGCTGATGCTTCATTGCAGCCCTTACCAAGACAAGCAACCCCTCTCCCTGCATCCATTCCCCACTGGGACACTGGCACCAAACTCCTCTGGGCTGGGGAGTCACCAGTGACCTTAAAGGGATTCTGTGGCCGTGGTTTGGGTTTTCTGTGCTCTGTGTTTAGTCATGAGAAAGCAATTTCTGCACAGAGCGCCCCGAGCTCCTCTCGCTCCTGCGTGGGCTGGGCTCAGGGGATGCGGTGCAGGGGTGGCTGCAGTGACTCAGGGCCCCGTGAGCCCACGGGAGGTGGAGGGCTCTGGGGACAGGAGTGGCAGCAGCGCCCAGGCCCACCGGGCACCCCCCACCAGCATCCCCCGTGCCTGGGCTCGGCTCCGCTGCTCCCGGAGCCGGGGATAACGCAGCCGTTAGCTCCATCTAGTGATGCTGCTGCGGTGCTCGGAGCGGGCTGCCCGGGGGGGGGGGGGACCCAGAGCCCACAGGCCCCAAACCCCCCCGGAGCAGGGCTGGGAGCAGGAGGCCCGCGGTGTGAGCAGTGCGGGGCATTCCAGCCGCAGGGAAGGAAGAGGGGAGCGTCAGCGACTGGGAAATAGGGAATTCCACCCCAGTGAAACAGGGAATCCAGCCCTGGGTGGTGCAGACCCTCCGGACCCTGCTCACATCCAGCGCTTCCTCCGTCTCCTGCAGACAGTGCCCAAGCGATGGGGAGACCCCCCCTGCAGCCCTGATCCAGCGCTGGGGCAGCACAGGAGGGACGTGGAGCTGTTGGAGCGAGGCCAGAGTTGTCCATGGAGCTGCTGCGAGGGCTGGAGCAGCTCTGCTCTGGAGCCAGGCTGAGAGAGCTGGGCTGGGGCAGCCTGGACAAGAGAAGGCTCCTGAAGGGGAGACCTTAGAGCAGCTCCAGTGCCTAAAGGGGCTGCAGGAAACCTGGAGAGGGGCTTGGGCAGTTTTGCAGCTTTAAAGGCAGCCCAAATGCCGGGTGTTTGCTCCCCAGGCAGAACAGCGCGGGGACACCAGGGATGGAGGAGGCCACTGCAGGTCACCAGAAGCCCATCCAGTCCAGCGGGCTCTGCAAGAACATTTAACCCAGGTAAACGGAAGGATCTGGGGGGTTCATCAAAGCCCAGTTCTCATCTGTCTTTGAATGCAGAGCTGCTGTCGGTGCTGTTGATTTTGTGCCCCCCTTGTCTCAGTGGTGCCAGGCCCCCAGTGACACACCCAAGTACATACATTAAGGTATAATGACAGTGATGAGAAGTCTCTATATTCTAGAGCCCACGTGCCTGTCCCCACTCCAGCCTTCCAGGACAGACCCCCACGAGCATCTGCTTCCGATTAAACATCATTGGGTTCCAGCCCAAAATAACTTCAAAGATTTATTGACTTCCATGATTTCCAAAGAGCTCCCAAGGAGCAGCGGAGAGCCTGGCGCTGGCTCCGCTATCCCGGTGGGATGAGGCTGTGCTCCTGATCCCACAGATTACAGAATATGGAGCCACTCACTCCCCATATGAATATTAACCTGAAACTATTTCCACCATGACATGTTAGGAATTTAGGATGAGCGCAGTTGTTGAGCAGACCAGAGAGCAAACCAGTGGTCCCCATCACCCAACCTCCTACCCCAGCAGTGACCTCCCATTGCCTGTGAGAACTTCCCTGCCTTTAGATGCTTGTGTCCTAAAGCAGGCGGAGCCACAGCTCCTCCTTGCATTTGTTTCAGTTCTTCTTGTAAGTGGACAGTCTCCCTCCCCAAAGAGATGCTCAGCATCCAGTCAAGCTCTGCAAGTGTGTGGTGGCGGAGCGTGCCACGTGCACAGGCTCAGCATCACTGCTGAGGTGCTTCTTCAGCTTTATTTCATTTTCTTTTTTAATCCAGAAATTTCAGCAGCACCGAGTTTTCTGTCACAATCCTACTTCAGAGTTCCTGTAGAGATGTTTGCTGTTTGAGTTTTCCCTCTAGAAAGCTTCTGAGCACCAGAAAGAGACGATTTTAGCTTTCCAAGGGTAGGGTTTTTTCATTTCTGTCCATTTGGCAAGGACCCAAACTTATTTTCTTAGGAAAAGTGTGAGCTGAGAGAGGGCAAAGTTCCTCCTGTGATCCCAGCACACAGCATCGGGAGGGTGCTTACACAAACAGCAGCAGCAGGGCTGAGCCATCTTCACCAGACTGTGTGGGGCAGGGGCACGCCGCTGGGCTGGGAGCCAGGAGCAGCCAGCATCCAGCTCTTGGCTCTGCAAACATCCCCTGGAGTGAGCATCTGCATGGCCCTGCCAGCTGGGATGAGCCTTTCCTGCCCTTTACCCTCTGCCCAAGCAACTCCTTGCCTCCCAGGCATCCCTCTGTGGTCCTGGCTGCCCAGGGGAGGAATGAGCTCTTCAACGCCTTGCTTTGTGCAAGCTCCTTCCTGGGCAGGCTGTGGGAGTGGGATGCAAGAGATGGGCAGCTGTCACTGATGGCTCGTGGTGGGACTGATGGCTGAGGTGCTGTGACAAGGGGAGGAGGAGGGGGTATGGAAGGGAATCAGTGGCCTCTTGGGGTGTTTCTCATAGGATGTCCCTCCTTGCTTCCAGGATCTGTTGAAACCAGGGTGCTGTTCTCTTGCCTTGAAAGCAGAGGCTCCTTAAAGGGGCTCTTCATTCTCTCAACCAAATATAGATCTACTAAAAAGCATGGCTCTGCTCTCTGCCAAGAGCTCCATTTCTGTCAGGATTTCAGGGAATACTTAGCATCTGCATTCCCTGGGAATTTCTTTCCAAGAGTTTTATGCTGGTCCTTCCCCCCTTTGCTGGAGGTCTGCAGGGAAGTGGTGCATGGAGCTGCTGGGCACCAGGAGAGCTGCTCCTCCTGTTCTATGGAACATGGTGCTTCCTCCAGGCCCTGCCGCTCTTTGTAAGCTAAAGCAAGACCTAGAGAGCAGGACACATCGGTTGGTGTCAGCCTGGTCTACCTGGAGCCACTGCGATGGGTTTGCACCAGAGAGATGGAATCAGCACGTTCTGCACAAGTGAGAGCTCTGCTGGGTCTCTGCTGAGCCATGAGCAGGCGGAAGGATGCTCTGGGACTGCCCCAGCCCTGTGGCTGCCCCTGTGCCCACCAGCGTGGCAAGGCAATACTTCTGCCTTGGGTTCTAGCGGGGAATACAGAGGGAGATATAGGAGAGGATGGAAGGAGAGCCTCCAGCAGGGAATGGGAAGGAGAACAAGCCCCGAACAGCTCAGAGCAGAGTGAACGGAGCTGGCGTGTAGCAGGAGCGTTCCCAAGCCTTGCGATCAGCAGTGGGACAGAAGAGTAAATTGGACACATATTTTCCACCCTCAGCTATCCACATTGCCCCTAACCTGATCCCAGTCAGATACACAGGGGCGGCTGCCAAGGAACTTGGATGACTCATTTGAAAGGGAGCCCGCACAGGAACCACGCACTCGCATCCAGCTGCCTCCTCTCTGTTGTTGTTTAGGGAGGACATTTGTGCTTGCTTAACTCACCTAGGAAGGGGCCAGCAGGGCCCTGGATGCAGGGGAGTCTGGTGTTCAGCCCAGCCTGGGACCACGCTGTGTATTCCTTAGCAAGATGGAGATGGAGTGGAGCTGCTGGGAAGCGCAGTGAGGGCATCGTGCTCGCTGCAGTGCCTTTGGCCTGTGAGGGCTCGGCTCTTCCCCACCAAGCACTGCTCTGAAGGGACCCCAGCAGTGGATGTCCATGGGGCTCCACTCGTGTTCACAGGGACAAAGCCCTCACCTCTCCCAGAGGGGACTGCAAACATGAGATGCGGAGAGCATCAGATGCAACCTAGGAGAGTGCTGATGTCCAGTGGGCAGCTCGAAGGGACGTGGTCAAACCTTGCTTAGGGAAACCCCAGGTTAAACGAGGCCCGAAGCCCACCAGCACATCTTACAGCAGGCAGAGACCGCAGCAGCAGTGTGTGTCCCTGCTCTCACCGAGCCTCATCCCCATCTCTAATCACAGCAGAAGGAATGCACTCCAGGAACCTCCCGTGCTGAAGAGGGGACTCACAACCCTTCATCCTCCCTACCCTGTACCAACCAGGTGGGATAACTCGGCCGAGCACTTTGCTGTCAGGAGCCACAAGAGGGCATTAGCTTTGTATTTTTCCCTACCCAGAGAAATCCCAGCCGGTTTCTGGATAATGTTCCGTTTTCCCGTGCCCGGGTAGAACTGTTGGAATATTAGCTTGTGAATCCCGCAGCTATAAGAAAACAGGCTGGCTGCTGACAGTGAGTCCTCTTTTTGTTCTTGCCGTTTGATTTTGTATTGGAATATTCTGCCTCCATGCACTAGGAAGGCAGAGACTGTGCCCTCTGTGAGGGGAAAAAGAAGAACGTTCTGAAAACTACAAAACCCCATCAAACAAACCCCATCCAAGACACCGCCGGTGCCTGGAGAAACGGAACAGGGATTGGAAATGTGGCAAAGCACGGCAGTGATTACACCTCATGTGCCATTCCCTCGGTAAGAAGGGCAGGCTCAGCACTTCCATCTCAGTTTGGTTTTGAAGGACATATTTCCTACCCCATCACATCTGGTGTCACTCCAAGGCATCCCACTGTCCTCAGCCGAGTTCACTGCCTCGAGCACTGTTCCATTTGCTGGATGAGGGCCGCATGCTCTAAGTACCCTGTAAGCGTGCAGAGATGTTTTGCAACCATGAAGTGCCATTAGGCCAAGGCCCTTAATTAGGAAACCATGCAAAGCAGAGGACTGCCACCGGCTGGAGCAGGACACGGATCAGCAGCAGAGTGCCCCTCGGTCTCCAAAGCTGTGTAAGTTTTCCAGTAACAGCAGTGCTGAAACAGAAATAGGTGAAGGAATAAATGTAGACCAAAGCATGTGAAAACGAGCCTCCTAGACCGGTGTTCCAAAGGGGAAGTGCTATTAAAAACATTACAGCCACTTTATCCATTCAGAAGTGAAAGGTAATGGTTGGTCTGTGTCCCCCATCCAAAAGGGGACATGTCCCATTGACATCAATGTGTGACAGCAGGATGGCAGTTCACATCCTGGGACCTGCTGCACAAAGCATGGCCGAGGGGAGTGTGGAACCCTGAGGGGTCGAAGGCAGACCTGGACTGGCATTTGCCTTGTGCTGCTCTCCTTAAGCCATGTGAATTGTAAGCACAGCACTGATGCTGGTGGGACCTCTCTGCTGGGACTTCTGTACAGGGGGCACAGGGAAATGGGGTCTCTGGGCAGGGCATTCCCTGCTGTCACGCATGGCCAAGCTGCACTGTGAGCAGCTGTGGGTAACCGGGGCCATCCTGCCCAAACTCATCAAAACAGAGCAGGTCTCAATCCCCAGAGCCAGGGAGGCAGGAGGTTGGAACATGCAGCCCTTGGGCCACCAGCACCGCACCTACGTGCACGTGCCTGAGTGCATCTGCAGGTGTCTGGGGATGAACCATGCTGAGTCCTCTCCACAGGGAGTCACTGGGAGGGCTGGAACCTCTCTTTCCTGGGGGGTTTGGTGTACTTCCAAGCCATGGAGGCTGCCAGGTTCTCCTGCTCAAGGGGAAACAACACCACCGAGCATTAATCAGACACACTTCAGGTTCCTGCTGCCAGCACGTGGCTGCGGTGCATCTGCTTCCCCAGCTGCCATCTGCCACCATGGGAGACGGGTGGATGCCAGCCGTCGCCTGGCAGCACCAACACCTACCACAACCAGCCCACCCCTGGGGGGTGGGATGGAGCCATCACACACACCAAGAATGGGAAATAAACATCCATCCTGCTGGAAGCAATTCCCAATGGGAAGAAGGGCACATCTCCAGCCTGCCCAGCCTCCTCTCCTGGTCCAGGGCCCTGTGCCGCCCTCCATCCCTGGTGACAGAGCCAACACTGAGCTAAGATATTAAACACCCCGATGCAGCTGCATCATCCAAGGCAGTGGCACCCCCAGCATCTCCTGTATTCTTCAGAGCTGCCTTCTCCTCTTCAATATGATCTGTTTTGAAGGCCATATAATAAGGCCATTAATTCCTTAGCTTGTGCTGTGAACTCTTTAATGGAACATGACAAGAAAACAGTGTTTCTTTCCTGGGAGTAATTATTGTTTCACTCTAAGTCCCTACCTTCAGCAACAGCTGTGAGAATAGTCCCATTAAAGGCAGGTGGGGACTCTAAATCTTTAGACATGATGCCCATTTCTTAACCAGAAGGACACCATAAATGACCACAGCTGTGTCAGCATCCCTATTTCAGAATGAAACATTTTCCCCAGGTCAGAGTAGCTGCCCCTTGCCTCGGCCATGGTGGAGGGATGCATCCTGCACTGGAGACATATGCTTATAGTTCCAGGAGGAGTTTAAAGCTAGCCACATGTGGAAGCATCATCCAGGTGAGCTGCACTGAGCAGCCAAGGCCTGATTCAGAGCCTGCTGCAATCCCTGCACAAGGCCAGCAAGGAACACCCCCGAAAGGGAGTCAGGGAGAAAAGCTTTAATAGAGATGGATGAATGTGGGAGAATGGGAGGGAGGAAGGGATGGAGGAGCTGTGAGAGCAGCAGACACGGAGCCCTGATCTCGAGCTGCTCAGGCAAGTGCTTTGCCTCCGCTTTCCCTCCTCACAATCACAGACACTGCTGGAAAATCCTCATCAAACATAATCAGTTTACACGGGTTTGCTGTAGGGATTATGCTAAACCCTGGTTTATTATTGTCGGGTTGCTCCCATTGCTAGGCTACGCCGTGTTGCTGTTGGCTGCCTCGGAGCCCACATTGCAGCCGTAGGTGACTCATGAGAGCTGGACCGAGCGTCTCAGGCTGCCTTGATGAGCTCTGGAGAACATTCCCTTCTGCTGAGGCACGGCCCCGGCTGCTGGGGCTCCCAACAGCCTGCACCAGAACCAGCACCGGTACCAGCACCGGTACCAGAACCCAGCACCGGATCTGCAGGAGGAGCAAGCCCCAGGCAGCCCCAGTTGGAACCTGAGCACCCTCAGTGCTCATGGATCTGTGGATGAAGAGCACTGGAGGGACTCAAGGAGGGTGCTGGGAGGTGTTGGGGACACGGGGACAACGGGGCAGGACCCCAGCACTGGAGCAGCCCCGCTCCTCACCTTGGCTGCAGCTCTCATCACAGTAGCCCCATAAAACAGTTGCAGCAGGAGCAGATTTCCCTTTTCAGAGCAAATCCCAGGGGATCCCTCAGTGAATATTCCTCTCTGGACAGCCCAGCTCCCTGGGAACCAGCTGCACTTTGCCTGTGCAGCCCTCACTCGGGCTTGTGCCATTTCTCTGGATGGTTTGGATGCTGCTTCACCCCGTTCTTGGCTCTTGGAACCAGCAAGTGCCAGGAGCGATGAGGCTCCATGGGTGACAAAAGCGGCCCTGGGGAGACACATCCCAGTATCCTTGGGGAACTGGCTCTCCCGCAGCAGGGCCAGCCCTGGGAAGTGTGTGGGAGCTCAGGAGTTCAGCCTCGGCTGATGGGAATCATCCCAGTCTGCAAACTGGCCCGGAGAAAACGGGGTCCCGGCCACTGGCTGCTCCTTAAAGGAAAACCCCAGGAGCGGAAAAAGGGCTGGGAGCTGAGGAGCCCCCCTGCTCTGAGAAGCAGCATCCCACAGCTCCGTCTCTGCTCTAACAGGGGTTTGCTGCAGGAAGCAAAGAGCTGCGCACAGCTCACCGCAGCTCCGTGCACTCACTGGCAAACACGGACCCAAAGCTCAGACCCTGCTCTGCTCCCTGGTTTTCTGCAGCTCCTGGCAGCCCTCGGAGGCATCAAACAGCTGCAAACCTCACTGCAAGCACACAAGGCCCTGGGAAGTGTGAGTGTCTCTCTGGAGGGTGGCCTTACCTCTTGTCCCTGTCCTAAAGCAGTGCTGGCATGCCTCTAACCCGCCTCCCATGTGGATCCCTGCTGGATCCCTAGGCAGTAATAAATGTGGCATTCCAGCTTGCACAGATTTCATAGAAGGAGAAAGGCAAAACTGTTCCTCAAAAGTCACCCTTTAATAGCAGCTGTTTCTGGGACACAAATCCCATTTTGTCCTGGTTTGTGCAGTGCTCAGGATGCTCTGCACAGCAAACCCGGCTCATGAGGATGGATGGATGGATGGTGACTGACAGGGCTGGATTTCACGTGCAACACCCTCTGCTCTGGGAGCATGAATCCTGCTTCAACCCCCATGTGAGGCTCTTTCCAGCTTCTGTTAAGCAGCTCGGAAGTGACCGGGGTTGCACTGGTGAGCAGAGGCAGTGCCTGTGTGCAGGGCACAGGGATAACACAGCAAGACTGAGATAATCTGTTTCTCCTGTCCAGCCCAGCTTGCTGCAGACGCGGCGTTCAGGCCATGTCTCGCCCGCATCCCTCTCATCCCTCCTCTCAACCCTCCCTGCCAGCTTCTGCCAAACCTGGCTGATGCCCAGGGCCCCGAGGGGAAGACTTCTAAAGCAGCTTCATGCCAATGTGCAGCTGGATCCTGCACCCGCCCCATCCCGCAGAGCCACGGAGGCCAGCACAGCCCTACGAGCCATCAGCGATCCCACACCGCCCCGCTCTGGGGCTGGGCTGGCAGCCAGGGGCTCACACATGGCCTCAACCTGCCACCTAGTGTCTTCCTCCCGGCTCTGGCTGCCGGAGCCTGCAGCAGGGAGGGAACCAGGGACGGGTTCCACTGTGAGGCAGGAGATGCTGCAGCACCTCAGGGACCCCTGAGAGCAGCGGGCAGGAGGATGCTGCCTGGCTCCCATCACCAAAAGCAGATACCACAACCTGGGCTGCACCCTGTAAACCCACTGGTGTCAGTGCCCATAGGCAGTGGTACCCTCGGTTGCTACCACGGATGCCTGGTGTCTTTCCCACTCATGCTGGGATGCTGCCTGCATCCGCCTCTTCCCAGTCACTCTCTATCCAGGACTGGGTGATCCCTGTGTGCCCCACACAGTTGCAGTTGCTGGAGCCCTGCCTGGGATGTTTCACACCCATGTCTGGATGGGGCAGGCAGCCCAATGGCTCCCACAGCATCCTGCTTTCCTCAGCATCCTGCAGCACACTGGGATGGGGGTGACACTGGGCTGGAGAGGAGCCTGGCTTTGCCCTGTTGTTTGCAGGACACGGGCAGGCAGGGGTCAGCAGGGACATCAAGGGCGTTTCAAGGCTGGAGGGAGGTTTTGCTCTTCTGTTCTTCCTCCCTCTTTCCAAAACTACTATTTTCCCACAGCACGGATCCTTTTTATCAGTGACAGGAGCCTGACCCTCACTGCTGGTTCCCCCCTCCATTGCCATCTGCTGCCTGCATCCCCAAAACCAGCAGTGGGGCGAGAGCCCTGATGTGATGCTTGTGATGGGACATCTCAGAGGGACATCCCCTGCCACAGACAAGGCTGTCACCCATCCCAGGCAGCCTAGTGAGAGCCTCACAAGGGCTCCACTGGGCACATATGGAGACATCACCCTAATGCAAAGTGCTGCTGGGATGAGCTGGGCAATGCCAAAAGTAGGAGCTGATCCATGAAGCTTGGTGGGCCTGGGCATCAGAGATTAGAAAACCAGAGCTGCTGCTGCTCCTGGTTAAGGGGTGACCTGATGTTTCTACTGCAAACACAGCAGGAAAGCTCCTAGGAAAGGCTGCATGGAGGGAAATCCCGGCTCCTAAGTCACTCCAATGCCTTAGGAACTCCTC